AACAGCGTTCATTCGAAAGCCTTATTAAATTTTGTGTTTCATGATTATCAATAATGAAAACACCCAATCGAGTAAAGCCTCCTAAATGTAGCCACCTCCTATAGCCTTAAGTGGTATTTCGGTAGAGGCCTAGTAACTGGCACCAAGGGGTGACTTTTTGTGTGATTACCACAGGAATTATTCTCAGTAGGCTCGCTGATACCAATACAAATCCGACTTGTTGTAAAACCCCTGGCTACAAACAGGAGGCAATGCAGGTATGATGGACAGGGGAAACCAGCGGTCATTTATGTACAGGAGGCCGACAGACGACCTTAACTGGTCGGTTGTCACGCGCACGTGCTTAGATGGCCGTAAAGATTGGCAAACATAAACCGTACGTGACCTTGAACGCTCGGTTTTCACATGCATGTGACGTCCGCTCGCTACCACGAATTTCGTCTTGAGAGTGTTGGACAGGCTTGCGGAAAATGTTTGATCTTCTTGAGGCAACAAACCAAGTCGTATTGTGGAGTCAGTGGTCTACTCTCCCTAGTTTAAGATCGGCCGGGATATTAGAAGGTTCGCTTAAAAAACCCTGACAGGTACCTTCCTGTTCTGCGCCGGTACTATCTCTTCTGGAAATGAGTCAACACTGAGAGGATGGTAAGCAGTTTAAAGTGTTGTTTGATTGGGGAAGAGAGAGAGTGGGGGGCAGGTTGCTTATGTTTAACGTTTCGATGTCGACGTAAGGGTGGAAGAGGACTTAAGCTTGTGTTATATTTGACTACCGGGATTTACAGTCGGCTTTGTAGACTCGTAGTGCGGTATTAGGATTAATTCTGTTGGCTTGGTTGTTTGGTGTTGTGGTCATTTTGGGTGGTGAGGATGAGGCTGTGCACAAGACGACGTTTGCTGGTTTTAACTTTCAGGTTTATGGCTCAATTTCGAGCTTATTTGAGGGATTAGCTTTATGCTATTTGGAGGGGTCTAGGTCAGCGTTTGATTTTTTTGTGGGGTTATGATTGACGCCATATATTAGGATAAGTGTTAGTGTTGCGTTTAGTGTGGGGCTTAGGGTAAGGGTTATAGTTCGAGTTAGTGTTGTGGTAAGGGTTGTTGGTTGGGTAAGACTTAGGGTACTTGTACTTGTACCGGCTGTAATCATGCCTGTTCTAGCTAGCCGGTACGGACGGTACCTCTCCACGCCTGGCGATTTGCGGAAGCAGATCTGAAGAGCTCCATCAAATTTTATTTCCAGCGCCAGTGACCGAATACAGAAGTACCAAGAACCATTTCTATGTCCTGACGGACTGAGTCGAGCTAGGTTTTGAGTTGACCCCTGTTGGACGTTTCTATTAAGTAACGGTTTCAATTCGATGGTAGTAGCACTGAGTACCTGAGGTTGACGACGAAGAACGTGTGGAAACCAGCTTAATCGTCTTTCCCGAATGGTCTGGGATATCGTTGTGATTTTGTCGCAGCGAGCGCGGACTGTTTCATTTGAGACTAAGTCGGTGTAATTCACTCGAAGGATGCTCCTCAAATAGTTGTGGTCAAAGACATCCAGCTTCTGTATTATTACTGGCAAACGTTAGGACCGCGAGATACGCGTATTTCAGGTAATTTCCCTTCGTCAGTCGTGGACACCTGACTCCATTATAGCCGCAGAAACTTCTGCCACACTCGAGTTTTAAACCCGGGACCAGTGAGCTAGAGACGACCGTCCTATCCACTGAGCCAGCGGGTCGACGTTTTGCT